ACACTAGGAAAACTAAGGAGAATAAACACAGACTATGACAGTTTGTGTACTCAGACCAGTAATATTTGGGGTCACAAGTTTTTGCCATGGATATTTTGTGGGTCAGAAGATAAAAAGTTTGGGAACCACTGGTTTAGACAATTGCTTTAAACTGATTTACTTAATGAGCTGTAAGGGCAACATTTAGTCTGCATTTAGTCTTGTGCAACGAAGTAAAGAAAAAAGATAAGTTTTGTTTTATTTTATCTAGGGGCTGCTGTGAAAGCCTTTTTGCACAAACATTCCTTAAAATAGAAATGAACCAGGTTAAAGCTCATTTGCAGATTTTCATGAATTTCTCCAAAAACTGTGATTAATGTGGTTGGAAAATAATAAACTCCGATTTTAATCCGTTTTCTCTCCACGCTTTTAAACATCATATGGATACAGCCTCTGGAGACACAGCTTCAAATGACTATTTTATTATTTTCTGTCAGAAGGCAGTGGGTGGACTTGATGAAACAACATTTATTAACATTTAAGAACAGAAATTTAACAAGGTGCTCACCTGTCTTTCTCCACTGTGTTGGACAAGTTGGGGTTTGATGAATGTGGACTCTGAAACAGAAAGTGCACAGTTATTAAAGTCTTCTGCTAAATCCCTTGAGTCTAAAATACATGGAAACTTAAACATAAATAAACAGTTTAGTTTGTCTTTAGAACCAAACTTTAAAAGAACAAAACATAGCTTACAGTTAGCAAACGGGCATGAGTGCTGCTACAATATCAACTTGTTAGACAAGTTTTATTGTCAATAAAGTTCCTCTCTAGACAACTAACATCTACCAAGACACTTGGATTTTGAGTCTACAAAAAACCCTTACCAACTTTGGAGGTGTTAAAGTGCATGGCTTTGTGCTTATTCAAATATTAAAATGTATACATCACATGTTTCAAACTCAAGGTCCACGAGCCAAAAATGGACCTCCACAGCATTTTATGTGGCCCCTGAGAGCTTCTTTTTTTAATTTTTTTTTTTTTGGATGGCCTCCCTTCTCCCCTTATAGCCATCCCCTCCACACCATTATGTTTTTTTTTTTTTTATTTTATTTTATTATTTTTTTGTGAAGAGAAAATAGAGAGAGAGAAAAACAGAGAGAGAAGTAATTAGAAAGATAGAAAGACTGAAATAGCGATTAGGAGTATATTAAATATACACCAACAAAACACAGGACCACACACCCAACATCTGTCCGCTCACCTGAAAAATAAATGATAAATACATGGAGGGCATATATAAAAATATACACATACCCATACATATATACTGTAAAGATATACATACATACATGCCTACATTCATAAATATTGTCAGTATATACACACAGACATATACAGTATACACACTCAGTGACCTGTCAGAACCCCCCCGGATCAGAGCACCTGTTTGTGAGCAGTTGTGAACATGCGTGTATATACAAGATTTCTCCAATGGAATATTTAATAGTGACTGTGGAGGACCGAGACCCAACCCCCAAGACACGAGGCAGACATAGGAAAGACCAGAGCCCAAGGGCCTGAGAGGAATCCCGAGCACAGAGCCCCAAGGGGCACCCGCACGGGAAGATCCGCCCACCCACCCCCCCAGATCAGACCATAGG